CAGTAAAAATATTGTTATTGTAAGCTGCATGTGTGTAAATGAACACACTCCAAAACGTACTTGTACATATTTAATTAAACATCAGCCTTTGTGATTTGAAAATCGAATTAAGCCAAATTGCCATTTTGATTGTACTATTTCAATTAATCATTCAGCCCTACTTGTTAGGTGGATGCTTATAGGCCCATATCAAAAGACACACTTCCAAGTTTCTATTATATCCTGGTCTCTCATTCAATGTAAGTCTATTGGATTTGTCCAAATGTTCAAATGTTATTTTTGTTGACTAAATTACATGCCATTTTAATCACAGTTAAAATTGACTAAAATTATTCTATCAAAAAATAATTGACTAAATGTTTAGACATTTTCAAGACAAAAACATGGACTAAAACAACTGTGTAAAAATGAACACTTCTTCTACGTTTCAACTTTTCAAACCTATTTTTGCATCTATTATGCATATTGATAGGACGATTGCACAATCAGATGTTACCATCCCCTCACCTCTTGTCCTTATCCTTCCGAGCGTGTCTGGACCGGTCCTTGCTGTAGCCCTCATTGTCCAGCAGCATCTTACTGACCCATTTTATTTTGTTATTGGGTTCCAGGTCCGCCGAGGGGTCCACGTTCTCCAGGTCCCCAAGCTCACTGTGCAGAGGGTACGCAATAAGACACAAATTTCCTTCCTCATCCTCCTCGAAACTCACCGACACCACACCTGCAGAGGGATGAGAGAAAGATGGAATAGGAGAGAGAAAGAAAAAAAAAATAGGTCAGAGGTGAAATCACAATAACTTCACTTAGGCAAACAGGAAGTGTCAGAGTTCCGAGCTTAAAGTAAACTGTCTTGGAAATCTTTAACATCTCTTACCCACTTCTCTTTTTTGCGCTTAAAAGCTCGCCAGTCTTTAACAAAAGCTACTGAGCTGACAGCACGGGCTGCTCCTAACCTAATAGGAATCACACAATCCATAACAAACAACGAGACAGAAATACTTGGAAAAGAGAGAGAGGAAGCAAAGAAGGCAGAGGGTTGGGAAGAGACAGAGAAGTCTGTGAAACAACAACAAGAGCCAATGTACAGGAGCTGCTTCACTGAATCAGTTTTCTGAATCGGTCACAACAGACCACATCAAATGTCTCTTCAATCAATGCCGCACAAGAAGGAAACCAGCCGACAAACAAATGACAAGAGGCTAAATTTATGATGAAAC